GAGCAGATTGCCTCTTGCAGTTGTGCTCTTTCGGAGGCTCAGCCTGTGCTGCTCAGCTGGGCAGGCGTGGTGTGCCTCCTGGGGTGCAGCCTCCTCTGGTGTGGTTCTCTGCCCACCGTACCCTAAGCAGCCTGTGCATTCTGAAAGGTTTCGTTATCCCTGTTGCTCCAGGAGCTGCCCGTTGCCGCCCCACTTCCAGACCCAGCGGGGTTTTTCCAGTCAGAGACCTTCCAGCGAGGCTATCACTTTGCAGTAACAACCACTACCCTGATGTCCCGTCTCTGCCTGTAATAAATATTTTTGATACCAAACACCAGTAGCCTGCTCGAAAAAATAAAAATGCTGTTCAGACTTACCAACTGCTATTCATTGTAATCAGGGAGTAAGAGCTGTGACTCAGCATGTTAAAAGGCAGGGTTAGAGGAGTGCCTGGCCATTGTCCTGGTTTTATACTAGACTGAGCTAAAAAATACAAGTGTCTCGGTTGAATTTATCTTATTAGGGGATTTAGGTTATGTTAATGCTATAGCTTCATTAATTACCCCATATCAATAAAAAAGGCAGCTTTTAGCCTCTAAGCGTAAGAGAGGAAAAGAAATGGTGGTATCAAAGGAGACCTTCAAAGACAGCCAACGCTGTCTCCAGGGTAATTTCTGATCCCGCATTCTTCCCACTTCAAAGCTGGGTGTGTATGTGTGTTTGGGTCGAGGGGGCTGGGGGAAGCTTGAATCTGATTTCTCTAATAAGTGTTGGCATCGGCCCCGTTTGATATTAGATGCAGGGAACATTTTGATTTGTTATCGCCTTTGAAATTGTTCAGACGACCTTCAGAAAAATGGCCTCTTGTTATTTCTGGGGAGAAGGGTGAAAGCAAGGAAAGGGAATCCAGTTTAATTCCTATGCAGAGGATGCCCTGAAATTGTGCTTTCAGCAGTTTTTAGTAACAAATGCGTGTCCTGATTGAAAGTGAAAAGTTGAAGAATAATAGACCCATAACTCTGCGTTCCTCGATGAAACTTGTTCACGCTTTCCCTCTCCGGGGAGGGCGGGCAGGCAGAGGAAGATGACCACATAGACGTTTGATGGTTTGGGAAACGAGCAGCCATGAAGAGATCCATCACCACTGCCCAGGTGTGGCCTTCACCCAGACTGCCCTGTGTGTCACTTTGCAAGGCAAAGCTCCTAACAAAGTTGAAACCCCTGATGGCTTATGAATTGTTTAGAAGTATCCATTCTAGATCATGTAAAAGTCATCATATGTACTGCTTTTTGAAATGAAATAAAGAATTGATAACCATCTGAGAAGCTGCCAGCGAGTTCATGTACTGCTAGGTGAATTTTAGCAGCAGTGATTATCACAGCAGCAGACCTCAAAGCAGATTTATACTGCTGAACTCGGCAGCAACCCCCCAAGAGCTGAGCCGGGGAGACACGGGCACTGTGAGCCAGTGTCCCCTCCAAAAGCAGCCTCTTCCTCCCAGACCGCTATAACACACACCTGCTTTCGAGTCCTCTACAACCAATGTGACAGTGGGCAGGTTACTTCATTTCTCTGGGTCTCAGTTTCCTCATCTGTGTGTTAAAAATGGTGTCATCACCCTCAGGCTGGGAGATTTAACAGGATAACTGGGTGGAGTGCAGGCCAGAAACACAAGCATCAGTGAATGACATCTGCCCTGACTGGTTGTGACAGAGGTGATGCTGATCATTGGCAAAGTTAGAATGACCTTGCTGTTGATGAGTGTTCTTTGCAGTGCAGAAATTTGATTTGTCACTATTTTTGCTGGTCGCTTCAAGAGGTCAGTTGACATTGTAGGGTTTGTCCTGAGAGACACGTGTCTGCTAAGGCGCTTGGTCATCTGTGGGTTTGTTGCACTTCCCCTGAGAAGAGACCCGGTTCCCACCATAAGATGCCAGTTCCCCTCTCCAGAGGCCAGGAGGCTGCTCCTCACATTCCCACAGGGCTGACTTTCTCCCCTGCATACTGAGGAGTGGCACTCTTTCCTGACACAGAGAGGGTTGCAGCTCCCAGAATGTTCCTTGTTTGCATATTGCAGCCAGCAAAAAAATTGATAGCCATGCCCACTTTTACAGTGAATGAGCTGGAGCTAATAAATATTCACTCAGATCCTTCCTGGCTCCCTGAAAGGAATATCTGAAGATCTTCCTGGCCCGAAGGAGAAGCCGGGCATTGACTCCAGAATGCTCGTTTAAATGGCTTTCTTTGGCATAAATCTAGCAGAAAATCAAGCACAAACCACCTGCTGTGTGCTCCCAGCAAAAGGAGGACCTATTGTTGTCAGATTCCTTTTTCAGCCCTGCACACCAGGTAAATAGACCACATTGTCCACCAGCCTTGTCCCAGATGGTAGAGCCGTCCCTGGGGTCCTGAGTCATATTTTAAACCTCCTTCCAAAAAGAGCTTTGAATAAGCATGGTCTTTTCTGTGAATCCATGATTAGCTGGAGAAGCCATATCTTAATTAAACCTGTGCATATTTCCCTCTAGGTGGTTTTTGTATTAAAACATCTTATAGATACTAAAGCTTTTAAAGTAAAAGCTGTAACTTTTTAGTATATGCAGATTCTTCTTTGCTGTCATTTTGTGGCTGTGTTTGTAGCTCAGTCTGCTCGAGTGTGATGTGAACAGGCAGGGAGGGTTAACTGGAGAATGTCACAAGACACAGCTGTGGGCCTAAAGTGTAAGGAGAACTATGTCGGTTCCAAGTTCAGACATTGCTGTTACTCTTCCTAAGATTTAGATTTAAAATCTTTGGCATCTCCCAGTCATCTTGGCAATGATTTTGGAAGAACTAAAAGATGTAGAAGTCATTCTTACTCACCCTGCACTCCCTGAAAAATCTGTAAATGCTGCATTTGTTAAACCCTGGGCTAAACTGCTTCACTGAGGAAGAGACACAAACCTGGCTTTTTCTCCTCAATATGACCAGCCACCGGGAGTGATTTTCTTTAACAGAATTGATAACACAGGAAATGAATCTCACATCTTTCTTTGGAGGTCTCCCTCAGAATTATCTTTGTCACTTTTCCTCCTACCAATTGTTAACCTGTCAAATTAAAACTCTGATGCTCTGATGCTTGGAGATTTTTTAAATTGTCATTCCTGCCCATTAGTTGAAGGGGTGAGGGCAGTACTGAGAGTTGACGTCACCTTTCTGGAAAGCTCTTTAGCAAAGTAGGAAGGGTGTTTGCTTTACACACACACCCACACACGGTGAGATTCACATGAAACCAGCAGTGAGCAGGAAGCAGCCAGGAGAACTGAATGTGCGCTGGGCACAGCCCAGCCTGCATTTCTGATGTCTTCCCCAGAATAGAAGCAGAGCTCAGAGCCCAGGTCAGATGCAGCTCCTCACTTCCTGTCTTCTCGGAAGAGGCTCCCGCAATGGCTTGTCCTGCCCCCTGCAACTCCAAATCAATAACGCAGCATCCAGGCCCACACAGTCCCACCTCTGGTTTCTGCCTTGACCACTGGCCAACCCCAGAGGCCAGGTCCAGGAGACCCATTCACTGGATGTTTCAATTTGTTCAACTCGTGACCTCGTATATTAAAGTCCACTCTTCAGCGCCTCTGGGACACACTGAGGGCTCCTCACTTAATCACATCCTGAGGCGTGTCCAGCACTGTCTTGGAGGTGATGCTGGTCTCATCATGTATAATTGCTTCTGAGCTCTTGAAGCTATGAGAAGGCAGTGTGAACAGGAAAACAAAATGATTTTGGTTGGAATGAGCTGTCAAGGCCGGGCGTGGTGGTGCATACCTATAATCTCAGCACTCGGGAGGCTGAGGCAGGAGGATCACTGCAAGTTTGAGGCCAACCTGTACAACATAGTGAGTTCAAGCCCAGCCTGAACTATACAGTAAGACTTTGTCTTAAAAAAAAAGAGTGAGCCACCAATGTTCCCTGTGCATGACCAAGTGTAGCTGAAGGGGGACTAGACTGGGTTTCCTCTGCACCTTGCGCACATTTCATCCTGGACCAAACAGGTGTCACAGTCACCTGAGAACACAGCAAAAACAAAGCAAAAAGAGCAAGCTTTTGGGCCCACTCAAACCTCATTCAGACTCCAGGGCAGGGAGCAAGGAATCCACATTTAAAAAAAAAAAAACCTCCCCTCCATGCTTCTGGTCCAGGCCAGGCATGAGCGCCACCAGGTGAAACCCCTTGAGAAGCCTCCAGATAACCCTGGGCCGTGGAGTGGCTCCCAGCATTTGCCTCATGATTCAGAAAGTAAAGTATCCAGAAAGTAAAACAGCAGCAACATCTGCCTATTTGGGGGATTAGGTGTACGAGTGCAGCACCTGGCATGGAACAGGTGCCCACTGTGGGCCGGGTCTCCACATCCAGGCCCGAGGGTAGCCCTCACTGAGCCCATGATCCTGGGGACATCAGGTATTAAAAAATCATACTTAAGGTAGTCTTACATGTTAAGAACCTTAAAAGTTTGGAAAAGATAAAGAGCAAACAACAGCCGTGCATGGTGGCACACACCCGTAATCCCAGCACTCGGGAGGTAGAGGCAAGAGGATCTTCGCAAGTTTGAGACCAGCCTGGGCTACAAAGTGATCCAAGGCCAGCCTGAACTGCAGAGCAAGACCCTGTCTTGAAAAGACAAAAAACAAAAAAAAAAACCAGACAACAGGTATTGAGGAAAATATTTAGATAGGTAACTAGGAAAAACGTCTTTGGTAAGGTGACATAGAGCCTTCAGGAAGTATAGGAGTTTGTGAGAAAACAAATGCAAGGGTTTGTGAGGAAGACAGTACAACGAACTCCACAAACACCAAGGTCCTGAGGCAGGATTGTACTGGCACATTGAGTCAGAACTGTGGTAGGGATCAAGGTTAGAAAAGGGCCAGAGAGGGCCAGGGATGTAGCTTTGCGGCACAGCACCAGCCTGGCAAGCACAAGGCCCTGAGTTTGAGTCCCAGTACCGAAAAGAGAAAGAGAAAACGAAAGTTCAGACAGGTCTGGAAGGAACTCGGGCCTCAGGATGACTTCTCCCTATCCTGTCACTTCAGTTCCTTCAACACCTTCAGAAAAAAATGGAAGCGGGACATTTAAGGTCTGTCAGCCCCAAGATCCTGTTCTGCATTCGGAGTGTTTTCCCTTTCTCAGGTGTGATAAGAGCAACAGTAGTTACAGTGTCATTCTGGAAGTCCACATTCTGAAACTGCTGCTGATGGTTCTCACCTCTTCCCCACAGCTTGACATATGGTCCAAATCCAACTATCAAGTATTCCAAAAGGTAAGTTTCACTTTCTGTTTCTTACAGTCATTAGGAAAACAAGAATCGGGAGGCTAAATATTGGTCTCAAATTAGAGACTTTCTAAAAAGTAGAAAAAGCCCAACCTAGAAAGCTGCTTGTTTTATGGGTTCCATGTATATGACATTCTGGAAAAAAGTAAAAGCTCAGGGACAGAAATAGGATTGGTGGCTCCCTGGGCGTAGGAGCAAGGGATTAGCCCCAAAGGGCCACGAGGAACCCCGTTGGGGAGATGGAGGTATTCTGGGTCTTAATCCTGGTAGAAATGACACAGCGTACCTGTCTGTCAAGCTTAGAGAACTACGTCCCTACAAGGGTGGATTTTACTATGTGTAACTTGGACCTTAACCACTTATCACTCCAATTATTTAAATACGAGATGACCAAAAATTGCATGTTTTCATGAATTTTTATAAGACAACAGGAAATATAAAAGTGACAATTTCATCAAATTTATTCAATGCAAGAATCAGCTGGTTGAAATGACACCTTCCTAAGTGACGCTCAGGACACTACATAAGTGAACATGCTTGGGGTAAGCTGTTACGTGGTTAAAAGAATCAGAGGCTTTAGAGCTGTCACAAACCCAACCCCTAATTCCGAATGGCTTCTCAGAGCCTGTGGAGGGCCTGAGGGGGCAGCTGCCCACTGCCGCTTTATACCTGGAGGCTATAGTTCAGCTGTCGGGCTTCCCCGGGAACACTGGAGGGGAACGTTGGGAACCACCGCTCCCCAGCTCGGGATCCGGAAGGGCCCTTGCCCCGCTCAGTTCAGTCCCTGTGACTTGAGCGGCTCCCGCAGGGCAGCAGCCCTGTTTCTGGGCTATCTCTGCTCTTCCCCAGTAGTCCAGGTAATAGAGAAGGCTCTCGTGTCCCCTGTCAAGCTCAGCTGCAGCTCCGTACAGAGCCCATCAGCCGTGCTCCAGGCACCATGCCAGAAGCCAGGGATATAGGGGAAGTGAGACGCCGAGGAAGGCAGGTGGTTGCTGGCACTGTGCCGAGCCCGGCAGGAGCTGCTGCTTCAGAAGAGGGAAGTCAGGAGCCTTGATGGGACACAGGACAGGGCACAGGCAGGCTTCCTGGGCGGCTGGGCCCGCAGCCCAGAACCTTGTGCAGCCGTGATGTGGTCAAGCCTCTCAGGACACCATGCGATGGAACAGTTGTGGCGAGGACAGGAGCTGGTCCAGGGGCCCAGGTCAGGTGGGGGCTGCTAAGCCTGACACCGAATTTGGACCCTGTTGTCCGTTCGGTAAGAAGCCCCTAGCTCCCTGCAGAGGAGGTGGGATTTTGGATTCTTGGCCCCGGTTGCTCCCCCATTGAGGTGGTAGGGAGCGTGGGGCTTTTTCCCATAAATGAGGTGGAACTCACGTAACAATGTGAACTCTTTCAAGTGAACTCTTTCTTCACGGAGGGTCTGAACTTCGCTTGTCATCAGTGTCTTCTTTTGCTGGAGTGGTGAGGAACGTCAAAACGGTTGTTTGTTTTCCTTCAGCCTGGCTCTTATCTCCACGCCCTCCATGGTAGAGCAATGAGTTACCTCCTCCCGGCCCCACAAAAGGCCCAGTGTGCTCAGGAGGCCAGCCCAGGCTCTGACTGACAATCTCCCAATTTCCATGCCAATGCCCCATAACAAGGCGGCTGGCACATACTGGCCTTTGCATATTTTTTAATGTTTTGTGTAGTATGAAGTGGTTTTGAATGCAAGAGGGAAGTTTACTAGGAAATTGGGAAGTGTGTGAAACGCAGATTTGGTGAGGCACAGAGGGACAGTGTTGTGTTTTTATCCCACCTGCCCAGCGCTCTGTGTTTGGCGCTGCAGACCCAGAAGTACTGTTTAAAGCTTGGTGTCAGTCTGGTTGGTGAGACACCAGAGCCCTGCCCGTGCCTGCCTTCTGCTTCCACAGCGTGTATGGGGCAGGAGCAGGCAGCAGTGTTGTCTGACCGTCTCTGCAGACTGAGCGGGTCTTGCCACTGTTTGCCCAGAGCCCTTCCTGAGAGTCCGTTAGCATCTCCTCCACCCCGTGTTTAACTACATGGACCTGGGCTCTTCCACCAACCCGTGCTAAAGCACCAGACTGAGCACAGGTGGAGGTGCTCTCCCATTAGAACTGAAGATGGATAGCCTCGAGGTCTTTTTCTAGTGTCAGGACAGGTAAGAATTAGTAGACTAAAGCGTCCTCTCCCTATCAGAGCGTCACTGTCTGCTCTCAGGCCAAGGAATGTATTAGAAAGTAATGTGGGACAGAGAATTAAGTGTAATCCTTTCTCCGTCACGCTTTTGTCTAGTCCCCGTCACATGGAACAGGTGTGGCATCTCATCAGACAGTTGATATCCCTCGCCTGCAGAAGACGGGGGAGACGCCCTGTGCAGTTTTCACCCTTCATCTCGGGCAGGCAGGTGGCCACGCGTGGATCTTCCCGCTCCCCGGCCAGGCCCCTTGTAGAACTGTGGCCGCTGTGTCTGCGGCGCGTTCTGAAGGTCTGCTGAGCCCTGGAGTGATGGTTAAGACTTCAGACCAGAAACACTGTGAGAGAAGGATTAAGTGGTAACATTCCTAAACTCCGCTTTTTAGGATCAGCTGTTTCTCAGAATCCTATTTTCTTCCTGTCCACCCACTTAAATGTAGGGTGTCCTGATGGATGCTGTTTGTGGCACTTCCCTGACAAACACCATTTAGAAACACAGCGGTAAACGTTCCTGTCGCTGTCGTCAGCCTGTGTACGCCCAGCCAGGCAACCTGGCCAGGGTGGACCAGTCCGGCTCGGTAGTGCATGTCAGCGTGTCCAGGGCGGCAGCACACGGCCAAGGAGGTTCCTGATGGTCATCAGGAGGGGATCTCTCAGGCAGGACACAGTTCCCAAATCGCCTAAGGATGGGGATAGCTGATGCCCCAGCTGTGCCCACTTCCAGCACAGGATCACTGGAAAAAGGGTTCTCCCCCGACGTGGCTCTGGGGCAGAACCCCGAGGAAGCCCTTTCTCTGGCGCTCATTACGTGGTTGCAGTTACTGCGTGTGGGATGTGTTTTCCTGCCCACAAGTGGCGGCAGCAGCCACCAAAGATGAGGGCCTGCCAGGGAGGCTGGAGCCCTCTGAGCTCCTCCCTTCTGGGGACACAGGAGGCAGGTGGGGAGGAGTACTGGAAAATGGCATCAGGAGCCAGGCGAGGGAAGCACAGTGCAGTCAGATTCTCCTGGGGCCCCCCTCGCTCCCTGAGTTAAATCCTGGACCTCACGGTCCTGCAGCAAATCCCACCACGGGAGGTGGAATTCAGCCTGCCCTTTGTGTGCAGGCATTGACGCTGTCAGCAAGCCCTTTTCTGGCCTGCTCATTAGACCCCGTACCCAGGCGTGGGGGAGTGGCAGCAGGCCGGGGACAGCTTGCTGCGGGGCTGCGGCCACTAGCAGGTGCCTGTCATTTACCAGGCTCCCCCAGAGGCGCCTTGCACTCCATCCTAGGGCGAAGCAGCTTTTTATAGCCAGCAAATCTCCAGCAGAGCCGATTCAGAGAATGGGGCTTAGAAATAGGGGGACCCTGTGAAAGGGCAGAGTCACAAAGAGCCAGGAAGGGTTTCAAGCGTGTTCATATTTTTGTGACATTTAAACTCTGCAGGGGCAGTCACTGTTTTGATCTTTAACCCCCTCATTTCAAAACAGTGTGCATTTTCATCCAGTAACTTGGGAGGCATGAGGGCCAGGCTGTAGCTGCATCCTGCGTTAAATCCTGGCAGGGTGGCTGAAGACAGAGGTGCAGAGTGGCCTGCCCCAGGAAGGTGGATGGAGAATGGGGAGGGAGTTGGAGGGCCAGCACACGCTCTACAGTGTTGGCACAGGCAGTAGAAGACAAAGCATAGCTGTCCTAGCTGTGCAGGTCCAGCCCTTGGCCCATGTTTACTGTTCTGCCCGTCTCAGAGAAGAGAGTGACCCACTCGGCCCTGCCCTAGCAGCGCTCAGCCATGGCCAGGTGGATGTCAGGCACCACCACACCTCGGTCCTGTATTCATTCAGCCGTGCTTAGGTGTAACACTCGGGGACCTATCCAGGGACAGCCTTTATCAGGGGTGCTTCCTGAGTGGCCATTGGTACTTTCTAGTAGAAGGGACTGAGTCAGCCCTAGAAGTCAGTTCTCTGACCTTGGGAGACCCAGATGATAGGCTGGCTCAGTTGAGTACCTACCCTGCCGTCACCTGTGCCTGAGTCCAAGTCCGTGAGGGGACGCTGTCCCAACTGGGGAGAGTCCCCAGAGGACTGGTGCACTTGTCACCTGAGGGTATGTACCTGCTATGGCATTTCAGGAATAGGCACTCGATCACTTTCATCTCCAGAATGTCTTCCTCGCAGCCTCCTGGACATGCCCTTTCCAGAGCCCCTCCCAGACACCACAGCCGAAGACCGGGAGAGGCTGAGGTTGAGGGGAAGGTTCCAAGACAAAGCAGTCTGCAGCCCACCTGGAGGGACCCCACAGGCCTTCACCCGGTCATCAGGCATGGCCCCATGCCCTGCCACTGTCCCAACAGTCAGTGTCTCTGGAGTGCCGGTGACCTTTCTCTGAGGACGGAGGAGGGTGATGTTTTAAAGATCGCGACATCACCTCGCTCTGTGCCGTGCACTCCGTCACTGGCTCACCAGTGCCTCCCAGGCAGATGGAGCTGCGGGGACTGCCCTCACGGGTGCAAGGTGAACGGCCGCTTCTTGGAGGCTGCCAGATCCCCTCCATGGGTGCTGACGAATGACATGCAGAGGCATGCACTGGCCTAGCAACAGGCTTTGGAAGCAGAGGCAGGGCGCTTCTGGGTTGTCCCAGAGGGCCGCCCTTCCCTCAGCTGACAGTGGGCCTGGGTGACCAGGCCAGAAGGGTCCACAGACTAGGCGGGCTGCCGAGAGCCTCTCACCAGCCCCTCAAACCCGTGTGACACTGGCAGGCCAGGGACCCGGTGGCACTGACGTTCATCTGCCCCTCAGGATGCCCGGTTCCTTCCTCTAC